GCAGTAAGAGGATAAAAAGACCTGTCATGTAAAGGTACAAGATCCCAATGATGAATGTAACTGTATTGTATACCTAAAATGTACCAATAAACTCAATTAAAATAAAAAGATATTGTTCTTCTGGTCCTTCTAAGGGCTGAGGCCCAAGGAAGATAGTTTTGTGTTGACCAGAGAAGGAGACGTAATGATATGCTAAAGGAGTGCAGTGACCTGGACAGAGGGAGAGAGGGAAAGAGAAGCAAAGAGAAAGAAACAGAAAGGGACAGAGACAAGAAAGAAGGGAACACAACAATGATGAATAACTGTATTGTATACCTAAAATGTACCAATAAACTCAATTAAAATAAAAAGATATTGTTCTTCTGGTCCTTCTAAGGGCTGAGGCCCAAGGAAGATAGTTTTGTGTTGACCAGAGAAGGAGACGTAATGATATGCTAAAGGAGTGCAGTGACCTGGACAGAGGGAGAGAGGGAAAGAGAAGCAAAGAGAAAGAAACAGAAAGGGACAGAGACAAGAAAGAAGGGAACACAGGAGAGTTTTAGGCTTCAAGCATTCATTTGAGAAACTGATGAGACAGCAAAGTCTGGACATAATGAGTATTGTTCAGAAGGGCTTTTAGGAGATATTTTCTGTGTGATATGTTATACGACTCTCTTATGGGCCTAGAAGAAAAGTTCAGTAAAGGTTTGCATTTATTTATCAAATTATTTTTCATTTAAGGTGAGATTGTGTTTATTTGAATATACTACTATGGCAGTGGTCTGTGAGGAAAACTGGTCAGATTTGGTGAATTTGGGTCTTAATCTGAGCCATTGGTCAGATAAATGATCATCTGGTTGTTATAGTCATGGTGCAAGACAGCAGAAGTTAACCAACAAAAGTAGTGAGATCATTTGAAAGTCACCTCCATAAAGTGGGAAATAGTGAGGTCTATTACAAAAGCAAAATTAGTATCACGAGGCATGGAGATTTAGGGCCCTGATGTGTGAAATGGAGAACTATATTTAAGCTAGGGAAGTCTGACAGTGGTATAGGCTGAGAATCAATATTCCTGTAGCATCAAGCAGTATACGTTTGCAAGCTTTGCCGATATTGGAAATTTTATGACACCAGCATTGTGTGTGCAGCTTTAGGAGAACTCATATTATTTTTTACTCCATCATCAAATCTAGAAAATATTTTGGTCTTCAAAAAATTGCCCTTTAGTCTCCCCTTATATAAATATTTAATGGGTGAGCTTTCACTTCTAATTTTTTCTTGATTTTTAAGCTTTAAGACATTGCACCAGATGTCATTACATTTATTGTCCCTAAGGAAACTTTGTAGAGCAAGTGCTTCCCCTGAAATACCTATTTAAGAAACTTTAAATTATGCTATTACTTTTCACATTTGCGCTGAACTATTTCCAGGCTTCATTTGTATATTTCGATTTTTTGGGTTAAGCTTTGACACTGGAACGAGTTGCAAAAAATGTACCATTTTACACTTTCTTCTACTCAGAGTATTTTATTTTTAAAGGAATATTGAGTTCTTTGCACTACCTGTTACTGTAGTGCTTTTTTTCAGGCTTGATAATACTTTGGTGTGATTATAAAACATGAAAGAGGTAAAAGGAGAGGAGCCCCCATATTGCTTTGGGGACATTTTATAATCTATATGCTACACCCACCTGTTTGACTTGGTGTTTTCTTTATTGTTTTACATAATTTCAGCTTCCACATATTATATGTATATATATTTTTAAAATATATATTTTGGGGAGAAAACACAACGTGTCTTTCTTTTCAGATTTTTACTATGAAAAAGAAAACACCTAAAATGATGACCAGGACAGAATAGACTAGGCCAGAAATAGCATCATGTGGCTTTACAACTATTTTTTGTCTCATTTTCTTTTTTTATACCAGTTCTAAATAACCAGAAAGATTTTCTCCAATTTTTTTCCTTCTCTAGTACATATGTGCAGCAGTGAATTAAACTACTATAAAACACCCAGATAAACCAATTTACAATCTTTGTTTACAATTTTTTACTGTTTTTAGGTGAATGTATGATGAGAAAATCAACATTAATAATATGGATTTTCTCATCACAAAAAAATAAAGGATCTCAAGCACCAAAATCAAGTTTTGTCAACAGAATCTATTTATCTTCATTTGAATGTCTTCTACAATATGTAAAAAGTAATAAAATATCTTACATCCACATGTATAAGAATTTCCATAACTGTATATATGCCTCTAATGTATTCCCCCAAGATTTTCAACTGTTTGTTTGACAAGTGAAAAAATAAATCTGTTATCAGTTGAAATTTTTGGTTGATAACATAGTAAGGATTGTTTTGCAGGCAGAAAACATGTAAAGCAGTATTAACATCTAAGCAAACAAGTGTTCTGTATCTACTTTAATAAATGGTATTATTTTAAAAAATAACTTCCAATCAGTGTCAAACATGCCCAGACATGTTATGAATCCCTGTCTGGCCACTGGAGAGCAGAGTGTCATGAAGGGACCAGCAATCAATCAGACACCTGTTACCATGCACGTCCAGCCTGTGGTTAGACACCTCTCCAATTCTGTTACAGGGGTGGTAGATCCTGAGGCTGGAAGTACAGAAGGTAAAGAGAATGTGCATGGCCCAGCCCTAGTAATTACTCTGGGCGCAAAACCACAAAGACAGCTCTGTGCAGAGTGCCTGCCAACTCAAGAGAGGCCCTACAGCTGAGTGGAGATGTGTGGAATTCAGAGTTCACCACTGCACAATAAGGGTAAGGCAAACTGGGAAAAGCATACGTGGTCAGGACCTGAGGACTTTTGCCCCAGTTCATTTAAGGGCACTGCTGAGTGCACTTTGGAAAGGAATGAAAAGCTAGCTTCTAACGGAGAAACAATTAATGGTCAAGCTGATGAACAAACTCAGATCTTCCCAGGAATCCTGACTTCTTGCAGTTGGGGAATCTAATTTAGACAGAAAAAGAGAAAACAGAGTCCTTAGCTACCCCCAGAAAACCCAGTGGAGCAAATAGTGGGGTTGGGACCGGAAGCAGGATGCAGACCTGGGCCCCAACTATGATGCAGGTGTGACTCAGCCTGTTGAGGTCAGGTCCTGGCAAGACAGGTTCCGGTAGGTGGGGCTGAACTGATGGAAGCAAAGAGATTGCTTTACATAAGAAAATGTAGGGAGAAGAAAGATCTAAGGGGTGGTGGAAGACTGTGGATTTGAGCAGCTGTTGGAGGGAGAGTCTAAGGGAAGAAAGAGAGTCTAAGGGAAATTTTTAGAAATTATTACCTTGGGTTGGGGGTTGTAGCTTAGTGGCAAAGTGCTTGCCTACAAGGCTCTGGGTTTAATCGCAAACACTGAAAAAAGAAGTGCAGCTAGCAAAACCATGAAAAGAAAGTATTGTCTTTTTCTATGTTTTTCGTCCTTGACTAACAACTGCCAATGGTTCTGAGAAAGCTCAGCCTATTGGAGATCTAGATATGAAATGTTTTCATTTTTTTTTTCAGTAGAATCTCTCCAGCTCTACTTGTCATCCTTCCCTTTTCCACTGTTTGGTAGCTCCCCTATTGGCAGCTGTCAAAATCTCATAACTTTTTTACCCATTTTTTCATTATTGAAATAGTATCTCTCCAGTACTGAAAACTCCAGGGCAGGCTGAAACTGTGGCCCCAGCAACCTGAAGTAGAGGACGTCTCTCAACCCTAACCCCTCTGCATTTTGAACTCTAGCTTTAAGGAGAGAGGGAACAGAGGCTCTTGATTCTCGGGTGTAGCTACTTCTGTGGCTAGCACCAATGGGATCATGGTAACCTCTGGAAGTTAAACATTCAGAAAAGTTAGACTTTCCTCTCTTGAGCCAGCAAAGCTTCCACCTTGCAAACTCCTTGACTTGGGTGGTCCTCCTCTCAGTAACGGCCTCTGGGACACTTTACCCAAAAGACTACTCAAACTTAATCATCTTCTATGTGTTATTGGACTGTGGGAAGCAGTGATATCTGTGTGAGCAAAGATCAGGGAAAAGCTGTTCTATGGGCACCCTTTTTCAAGATCTGCCATCATTCTGTCCCCCTTTCTCTACAATCCTCAGGGTTAGAAGCTCTATGGGTTAAAGAATCAGTAAATTTCAAAGACTGATAATCTCTAGACCCTGGCTTTGTGCAGCTGAAATGATGCATGTTTTCCTAGTTCACCTTCCTTTGGTCACCTCTAGCCTGAGGTGGCCTCATCCACTTCTCTAGGCCCAGTTCCTTGGCTTGCACCTTGCAATTCATGCCCTACTGACAGTGAAGTGCACATATTTCCTATTTATGATGGCAGGCCACATATCCTGTCTCTCCCCACCGGGTGCCTAGAAAATGCTCCTTCTTTGAAATCAGAGCACACTTCAGTCCTCTCCCACTTAGTCTAGGCCAGTGATGGGAAACCTGTTAGAGGTTTTAATGATGCTAACATTAAAGTGGCACGTGTCCCACAGGTTCCCCACCATTGGTCTAGGCCAAGTATCCCTTTCCACTGCTCCAGTCTCACCCTGAGAACATTCTTGCCCTGAGCTTGTGTCCAAATACATTAAAATAGCACTGGTGTGTATCTGACTTCCCTACCAGACTAGACATTCCTTGCACACAGTAACTGGCCTTTTTCATTCCATTTGCTGTGTCCAGGGCAGCTCCTGACTCATAGAAGGCAGTCACTAGACGTTTGTTGGTCAGACCAAAAGGAAGAAGGAAAAATGGGCTTAATGTCTTATCTTTTACAGTGAGGGGATATGTGCAGTGAACACTTCAGTTTGGGGACTCCAGCATCTGATTCCTTCCTAGTTTCAAAAAATGAACCATTATGGGAATATTGATAGGATATGAGCCAGCCTTTGTGGCCAGTTTAAAAAGCCACATACTTGCCCCCAGATCCTTACAATGAGAGCCCAAGCCTTAGTCAGATAGTAGAAAACGCTGCTGAGGATCTATACCCAAAGGAAGGGAAGGAGAAAGCAGAGCCTGTACCTGGGGTTGTAGAAGTGGTAGCAATAGAACTCCGAATAGGCTGGTCCTGGGTGTGACTTGGATCTAACTTCCTGACTCCTGCCTACTTCCCTGCCTTGGTTTTCCAGACCTCCTACCAATTCTATGACCAAACAAATAGCCCTCCACACACATGCTTTTCTATTCGAGGTAACAAAGGGCTTCTTTTATTTGCCAAAAAGAGGTTTAACTAGTATACCTAACATATGTGTTCACAAATATAAATTTATGCTTGACTTTGAAAAGGATTTTTATTCGTGTATATACAAATATATAGATTTACATATTTAACCTAAAGGCATACATAGTCTAAATATATTTATTGATATATTTCATCTAATATTAAAGATAGTAGAATAAAGTGGAATATACAACTTGCAAATCACTAAAGTAAAAAAGGGCAAATAAAAATTGGTCAATATACCAAAAGATAGTAAAACATAAATCCATGTAAGCATAAGAATAAAGACATTAGATCAGTATTGTTGGTTATCATAATAAAAGTGACAAAGCTGGACTCTACTTTGACATAGAAGGGTTCTTGGAATTAAAAAGGATAAATCCAACACAGTATGGTAGATTTTTGGATTGTCTTTCTTAGCTTCTTCTGTTTGAAGAGATTGTAAAATGGAAAATTACCTTTCCATAAGCCTTCAAAATGAGGTGTTAGGTGCAGATATAGTGGAGCCAATAAATATGCATTTTAAGGGGCTTTGGCAAGTACAGGTGAAATGGAGTCACTTTCCTGCTGCTGGGATGGGAAACAAACTTCAACAGATAGGACCTATGTTCCAGGGTCTGGTCACCAGTTCTAAGGAGTCAGAGGCAGCCATACTGGCAGCAGTAGCAATAGCTTCCTAGTCTCTGGACAGCAGCTGCAGTGCTATGAACTCAGATCAAATACCCTAAACTCTTCACTCCTCCAGCCTCCCCTAGTGTTTCTGGTAGTACTAATTCCCTGTATTAGGTACCTCGCCACTCGAGACCCGTTAGTTGGTTGTATTTCTTCCATGAAAATCTGAGTCATATGTGTTGCTTTTAAAAGACAGGCCTATAATTAAGAGACTCATAAATCTCTTCTTTAAAGGTACCCCAAGAAAATATGTAAATGAAAACAAAACAAAGCAAAAACCTAAGTAGGGATGGTAATATTAATATCAAAGAAAAATATTATAGAAATTATATCAATATAAGATGAAAATAACAAAAAGATAGACTCATATATTTTTTTCTCATTGAGTTTATTGGTACATTTTAGGTATACAGTACAGTTACATTCATCATTGGGATCTTGTACCTTTACATGATGGGTCTTGGTTCTCATTTTTTCCCCATACCCCTGCTCTCCTTTCACTCCCTCCTCCCTTTCCTATTTACAAAAACTTTATTTCCATTTTTTCATTTTCTCATATTTTTTTCTTTTCCCTTATCTCCTTTCCCCTGTCCTTCCCACTTCCCCTACACCTTTAGCCCTTTTCTTCCTATTACACATTGTCAATTATACCATTAGGATCTTATTTACAATATAATTTTTCACACCAGAGAAACTATTCAGTATTTATACATGTGATAGACTCATAAGTGTTTATGTTCTGCATAAAATATTAGCTAATTCTTAAAAATAAAATCTTAAAAATAAAGAAGAAATTGATAAAACTTGAATCTTAGTGGCAACATTTATTATTTACTTCATAGGCTTTGATGAATCCAATGGATACAAAGGAACTAATATGTTTTTTAACATATGTAGTCTACAAACATGAATTTATATTCTTTCAAGATGTCTAGGTCACTTGTAAACTAAGATAATAAGGCTGTAAAAGAAATGTCAATAAATATTTAAATGTAAATTATCTTTTGACCATAACCTAAAACCACAAAGAATTAGTGAGAAAAATATTGAATAGTAGAATCTGAATGCCAGGAAATTAAGCAATATTCTTCTAAATAACTCTTGGGTAAGAAAGGAAATGAAGCATGTAATTAAATATTGTTTTGAAAATAGCAATAATAATACACTAGATTTCAAAACTTCTGGTGGGTGACAAAGCTATACTCAGAAAAAGATATTTTAGGATGCTGTTACTTTTCAAAGGAAGAATGAAAAATGTTAAGGGGCGCTGGGGATCTAGCTCAGTGGTTCTGCTGCTTGCCTTGCAAGCACAAGGATCCAATTTCCATCCCCGGTACCTAAAAAAAAAAAAAAAATTAATGAAATGTTCATGTCAAAAACAAAAGCTTTTCAATGTAAAATAAATGTAAAGCAAAGTTGTTAAATGTATTAATATAATAAAAGCAGCAGATGAATAGCTGAAAATACAGAAAAGTATCATAAATAATTCAATCCATGCTGGGTTTTCAGTGGGGGGCGGGGTGTTTGTTTGATTTTTGTACTGGGGATCTAACTCAGAACCTTGTGCTTACAAGGCAGGTGGTGGCACCACTAAACTAAATCCCTGGCACAAGCTGGGTTTTATAAAAACAAAACTAAATAACACAGTAAATTATACAATCCATTTAAAGTCTACTATAAAAGAGAGAGAAGACTACACTAGTGTATTTGAATATCTTGATGAAATGGGATGATTTTCAAAAGAACATGTTAAATTCCAAAAATGAACTCAATAGGAGGTAGGATATCTGATTACAAATCCTTAAATACATGTAAACTACCAGTCTCAGTGTTCAGACGATTTCTGGATGCCTCTTGGACAACAACTGAATCCTCAACTCTTATTTCATCCACAACCACAGCCACTAGTTCTACTCTGGCTTTGAAGAGTATCCAACAGGTGTGATCTGACCACACCATTCTTAGGGCTTCTCTGTTAGACCTTAGCGAAGGATGCCAGTGGGTCCCTGCTTTCTCAACCAAAATAAGAAATAGTGTGCTTTGGGGCATCCCTCAACCAAAGATGCCAATGGAAATTGCTCTCCCAAGGAGCAATCCCTTACTCCACATATTGTAAAGCTTCTCAGATTGTCTACTAGAGTTGAGCATCCTGTACTCACTGGCCAATGTGACAACACATTCTTGTTTTGACTCTCCTGCTTTCTCTGTTTGCTTTGCCATCCTTCCCTTATTCCTGTCTCAACTTCTATATCTCTACTACCAAATGAATAACCACATACAAATCTTAGTCTCAGGCTCTGCTCTTAGGGAAACCCAGGCTAAGATAGTTGGCACCAAGGTCAGCCCTAGAAAGTAGATGTTTAGATGGGCCCTTCACAATCAAATGCCCATTAGCTCTCCATAGTTGGAGGTAAGTGGGGTGACAAGAAACATGAATCAATGTCACAGTTCCTAAGTTTCTTGCTTAGGTTTGACTGTGACAAGGTATAGGCAGAATATGATGTGTTGAGTTGGTGGTGGGGTACAGCATGGACAGATAAAGGAAATAGTAATTATAAGGATTATGGAGTTGTCTGACTTTGGTTAACTGTATGGAAAGAAAGTGATAGAATCAGGACAGCCCACTCTCAACACACAAAGCACACTGTGTAAGCCAATTTGCTTCTATAGAAGTCTTTAGTGAGACCTTTCATTTCTAGCAGCTAAAAGGCAGATCCATGTAAAAAATCAGGCTCATGATCTCTTTGTAATGGGACCAAAACAGAAATGAAGATATGTGCTCACAAAAGGTCTCACATGAAGAATGATATAAAAAATAGATCTATGGGAACTGAGATGGGGACATTTGAATATGTGAACCTAAAAACCAGGAGCCTCCAGATCTCCCTGATTGTACTAGAAGTAGCTGCTCCTCATTGGGGAGAGCATCTCTCCTTGCCTGGAGACCCTGCAAAGACTGCACTTGAGACAAGCAGCTTTCAGTATCCATCCTCGTCTCTCGTAGTTGTCCATGGCTGACAACAAAGATCAAATCACACACCAGCCTGTGGGCTGAAGTACAGTGCTTGGCCCCAGGAAAAACTGCAAGACCTGATTAATATGTACTGGCAGGAACCAAAGAACATATCTGGGAATGGACTAGACCAGGGAGTGCAAAATATAAGAAAGGGTAGGGAGAGAAACTCACCAGTGACGTGGGACATAGTGTTCTGAAAGGATAGATTCAAACAACTTGCTAGAGAACTATTTGAGAAAAAATAAGGAATATTTAGAAATTGCCCTAGAGGTTAAAAATGTAAATCCTTCATGATTTATAAAATAAAATCCAATTTAGAGCCGGGGATTTAGCTCAGTGGTTCTGCTGCCTGCCTCGCCAGAGCAAGGACCCGAGTTCAATCTCCAGTACCACTAAATGAATAAATAAATATTAAAAATACAATTTATAAAAGAAAGCTAACATATCCCTAAAGGCATCAATGACAACAAAAATTGCAGAATAATTTCTTTTATCAGTAGAGGGGCAAGAGGGATCCCGAATGGGTAGCCCAAGGAACCCACTTTTTTTTTTTTTTTTTTGTACCGGGGATTGAACTTGGGTCCTTGTGCTTGCAAGGCAGGCGGCAGAACCACTGAGCTAAATCCCCAGCCCTCTTTTATCAGTAGAAAGGGGAACTTTCTAAATGAAATATTAGCAGATCTTTTTGAACAGCATGTTTAAAAAATATAACGCACAATGGTATATTTTAGATATAAGGGTTCCTTCTAGAACATAATTCTGGATCAATAATTAAATAGATACTATTATAATTTGTTCATAAGTATTTTATAAAAATGACAAAAAGACATACAAATTTTTAAAAATATTTTTATTAGTGTTTACTAATTTACAAAATATGTATTTTTTTAAATGAGTTTATTGGTACATTTTAGGTATACAGTACAGTTACATTCATTATTGGGATCCTGTACCTTTACATGACAGGTCTTGGTTCTCATTTTTTCCCCTTGTCCCTGCCCTCCCTTCTCCCCCTCCTCCCCTCCCCCTTTACAAACACTTTATTTCCATTTTTTCGTTTTCTCATTTTTTTCTTTTCCCTTATTACCTTTCCCCTACCCTTCCCACTTTCCCTACACCTTTAGCCCTTTTCTTCCTATTTCATGTTGCAAATTATCTCGTTAGGATCTTATGTACTATTATAGTTTATTCACACCAGAGAAACCATTCGGTAT